AACTGAGATAATGATACATAAAATATACTACTCACCTGAGTAAAGTACAGACATTACGGTCATGCACTGACGCAATTTGAATTTGCTTAATACATCTAGCATCTCACTCTATTGTATACTGACAGTAGTAAATTATAACACGTTCTATATTGATTCTCATTGCCTGTGACCAGCATTAATGCATGTATAGCTTCATTAATATACTTAGATTGCCAGCAGCTATTTACAGAGAAAGCATGAGAATCTTAATAACTGTACATGAATCATTAGGTCTCAGTTACTCTCCCAATGTCCTCCAATGACAAATGAAGTGCAAAAATAGCTCAAAGCTACTGCCACCTGCTTCTCAGATGCTGTCCATGGTTCATATTTGTATTCCTTTCCCACATTTGTGTCTCTACTCATTTTCTGCTTTTTTCTTTCTTTTTTGTTCCTCAAGATTATAACTGGACATATTAACAGCTACACAGGGGTCAGGGAAATTTTTTACCTTTTACTCCCCCCAAAAAAATATTTATATATGTCAACATTACCCCCCTTGGCTCTTGCCATCCGCAGGCGACCCCCCCACCTCTGTGCTTGCCTGGGACCTTCCGCCGTCCCCTGGGCAGCCAGTCGGGAGCCGCCACACCACTGGGAAAGCACGTCCTTGGCAAGGGGAGGCGGGCTTCGCGGGATCGGCAGGTCTACCAGCCATGAGCTCAAGTGAGGCAGGGTAGGAAGGGGAGCCCCGGCCAGGGCTCTGCCGGGCTGGGAGTCCAGCTGACCTGATATGTCACCCTCCCACCCACTTTGGAGGCAAGGAGGGCAGGCGGGTGCCCTGTGCAGTTCCTCGCTCTCCCCGCGACAGAATGCCTGCTTACACACAGCATCGTCGGAAATAAAATGCCTGGGGGTAAAATGTCTGCTGCGACCATCCTCATTACCCCCAGGATTTTCATTTTTATCCCATTTGGGGTAATTTACCCCTGTTCCCTGACCACTGAGCTACACAAACCCACATCTGCTGAGTGCACATAGGGATACTGTAACTGGACATAAGGATCCAATAGAGGGCACCAACTACATCAATTTTAACTTAAGATCTCTATTAACCAAAAAGCCACAGGAGCCTTCCTCGGCCCCTCATAGAGGGGGATGGTATGACCAAGAATGTAGATTAGCCAAAAAACATCTAGCTCATCTAACAAGGAAGACGAGGAAGATGCATTCAAATTCGAATTTGGAGGCGCTGGCTTGCTACCGCTCAAAATATAAGGAACTTTTAAAACAAAAGAAATGCGCATTTATGTCAGCTCAGTGGGAGGAACTAGGGCAGTCTGTGCTGGAAAGGAAAGAGAGAAAATTCTGGAGTATGGGCTCAGCCGTGGATATAGGTCCCAATCCTGCATCAAGTGCCTGCATCACAGCAAATGCTTAGTGCCACGACTTTCAAACTATTTTCAATAATGATGCAGATATTGGGCCAAAAAAGTGAGTGAGAGAGAGAGAGTATGCATCATACAGTATAGTGAATACAGTATAGTGCATATATATGCATAAATCTTGGAAATTATTACACTTTTACTGTATAGAGTTGGTCCTTCTCCGCTCTTCCCCACTTTTTTGTTTCTCTATATAGCTTCTACACAATACAAAAATGAAGAGAAAAACTGCACAGGCAGCACAATAAAAATCAAAAGGTGTTATGTGTAGTATTCTCATACAGTTCATCAATTGTGCATAATTATGTACTATCATAGTGTATATGAATACATGCACTGTTGGTCTATAATAGCATAATATTTAGAACAAGGAAGTATTGTATCATAGACAAAACTAAATTCAGCAAAATACTTCTGAAATACCTGGCATGTTTTCTAACCTCTAGTAATGTGGGACTGTCCTAAACATATTGACATGGAGCAGATGCTGCTGAAATCAATGGATTCTTCTACACGGCATTTACTATCTCAATATTACTGTTAGGTTCACCCAATATACATACTTCACTATGCATGTCATCTGAGGCACCCAATAAAAAAAAGACTTCTCATCTGTCATCTGTTTGATCTGTCTGCTCTTGACTGCTGCCTTAGCTTGTGCTGTGATTGCTCAGTATTTTTCAGAAGATGAATTATTTGTCATTTTGTTGGATTCATATATTTGATAGATGCAATCAGTACTGCCTCATTTTTCACCTGGAACAAAGCATTCCTCTTGAAAAGCACCCTGTATATCTTATTGACTTGTGTTAAAGGTCCTACATCATGGGTCATCAATGTTTCATGTTCATTATTAAAAGAGATTCTTTTTGTGTCCTCCAGCTAGGACCAGTTTTCTCTTTGAAAATGGTAATATATGGTGGTAGAAGTCTCTGCTTGGGCTGTAGATTTCATTTTATCCAATATTTCATTTTATCCAATACTGTTTAGAGCACCTCTATTAATTGCTTCAAAATTAAGGCTGTCTTCTTGTAAGTACCATGACCCTTGTCATGGTAAAACATCAGTTGTGATAATGGTTATCAAAGTGCTATACAGGTCAATTAAATCTTTCATATTTTCCCCCATTACTCCAAAAGAATGTTATGACGTTGAAGTCAGATTTCAACAATTATAGAAACACAAAACAGACCAGTAATCTTAAGTCAACTCTCTAAAATGACAGCTAACTTTTTTGATGGCATTAAAGCTAAGTGTTTAACTTGCCTAACTTGCAATGGGTGTGTGTGTCCAATTTTAATAGCAAAGGAAGAATACAGTAGGCACTAGCACCAAACACTAAATCAAAAGAAAGGAGTCTTTGACCCATGGGTTTCACTGAACCTTAAGCAGTACCAATCATACCTGCAAAGAGTCTCAGGCATGACCCTCCCCTTCCCCTTACAGAGGTCCTGCCTTCCTCTCATCCACCCTACCAAAAGGAATGAGGAGGGGAGAATTCACCCTGTTATTTCTAATCACAGATAATGATAAAGATTCTTCTGTTCTGTGCGACTTAGTCCCACAACTAGGAAAGCAAGTGGTGCATGAGGAATCCTTAATTTTAATGTATTTCAGATCGGCAATAACTGTGGGAAGCTTCAACAGCCTGGGCTCTCCCTGGCAGAGAAAGTGCAGAGCTTCTGAGACCCAATCACTAGTTTCAGGATTATTCTTAAAGTTAGTTTGGGAGTTGGCTTCACCTGTCCCACATTTCTCATAATGAGTAGACAGGCAAAGCTTCCCAGAACTTGAGGAGATCTTCAAATGTACAGCTTGGGATGCCAGACAGCGAAGTCAAACCCTGAGTTCAAAGATATCCCTCTGCACATCTCTCTGGAGTGTGCAGCTTGCCCAAGGGTACACAGGTTGGCTCTTCTGGTATGCACAGCGTGGAAATGAGCTGCCAGCCTCTGACTCTGCAGTCAGATGAATACTATGTGCAAACAGTATCATCCTGGGCCCCTGAAACAGCAGGGTATATGAGCAGCACAAAATTCCATAGTAGATAGGGTGCAATAGTCCTAAATAAATGTTAACCAAAGCTTAGGTGATGGCCAACAGTGCTTACTAGAGATGGGCTTTTTGATTGGAAATGAATGAAACTCCCCACAAAAGAGGTTCTTTCTTTTGCTTTCATGGTCTTTCATTTGCTTCTAAAAAAGAGCTTTTTAACCACAAATGTTTTATTGAAATGGAAGAGGAGTAAACAAAAATGTCATATGTTTTGTTTCCCTTCTTTCATTAAATGTCTCTCAGATCGCTAAATAAATGTTTAGCCAAATAGCATTGCAGGAGCTGCTGTCAGCAGCCAATCAGAACACTGCCACTTAAGGAATACCTTCAGGGACCAAAGTAGGAAAGCTCTTGCTTACTCTACTATGAGCAAGTCTGCTTAGTCATTGCCCTCCTCACCTGCAGCTCACCCCTTTGGAGGAGACTTCCTAGCCTGCAGCCTCTTCTTCCTATTCCCCAGCAAAACCTTTGTCTTGGCACTTTGGCATCTCAAGCAGTCACTACTGTTCCAGACAACCACAGACCCTTTGATGAACCAATAAAGGGAGTAAGCCAGTGAGACTCCCTTGGAAGGTAAAACCAGCCTGCAGAATCTTTGGAAGAACTTCTGTTCCAGAAGGTTGAGTTAGGGAGCTTTGCTTTGTTCTATTCTGGTAGCAGGAGGGTCAAGAAAGATTCCAAGCCTGTTTGTTGTCTTCCAACTGTACCTTGTCTTTCCTCTAACCCCAGCCTTATGCGCATGTGTGCAAAAGTGCTCCTGCTCAGCTGGGGTACTAATAAACAGCATTAAATTTTCCAGCAAATGAATGGGAGAAATAAAGAAAATGACCCAAAAGAACTGGTCTTTCACATCAAACAAAAGGCCTGGTGAACAAAAGAACTGAAAACAACAGAGGTAGCCACCCAAACAAAACAAAACAAAAATGAATTGAAAGTTTTTGTAGTGCACTTCCCTAGAGCTTACTGAAGTCTGTTATTGCTTTTTGTTTACACTGAAAAGAACAAAGGTGTCCCAGGGTTTATTCCTGCTGTGGGCAAAATGTTACAAATGGGCATGTCGCATACAGTCAACGAAAAACAAAGTGCTAGGCAACACCGCTTTACTCAGACTACCTATTGTATTAATGCAAACATGTTCCATCATTACTGTATTTAGATTACATGGCTTCTGCCTGCTTTCCTCAAACTGCTTGCTACGGTGGAAATTCTCCATAAAATTGGATTAATAGCAACAAAACAGAACAAGTCGTTGTGTTACTTGCTTAAAAGGCACAACTACTCAATACAAATGAACTGATGGAGATATCATGGAGATTTTCCAAGGGAACTGTTTCTGGAAACATAAGTCTATAAATAGTGCAACCTGAACTATTTATCTTAATGACTTTCCAAAGTTGGTTCAATGGGACTTGTTTCTAGGTAAGCCTGTACAGTACTGTAGCCTTAGCTTGTCAAACATACTATTAAACTAAAGAAATCAAAACCAGAGCAACAAGGATTCTGTAAATGCTTTGTTCTTACCACATATCAAGGCAGGTAGAATACTCTGTTGAGCCTAAGAGGACATCTGGAGGTCTGTACCACAGGGTAACGACTTCATTGGAGTACGTGTGACTGGGGACAGATTTGGCTCTTGCAAGTCCTAGGAATAAATGTAAACACAATGAAGAAATAAGCATATAAGGAAATAAAAGCTCCTTTATGTAATTAAAGACATGTTTTATATGAGACAATTGAGAAGACTGGATTTTGTTTCTTCTATCCATATATTAAATGAATCAGTGAAAAAATCATCTCTATTTGTATTGTTTATAGTATCACAACACAAAGTAGCAACTCAAAAAAAATCAAGAAATTGCATTAAAATATTTGTCATTGTGCAACTGCTATATTTTTATTTTGGGGAGCATACATTCCATACTGACGGCGAGAGCCAGAGAGAGCGCATAGGACACTAAGTATAACAGTAAGTCAAATAGATATTTCGATGTCAGTAGCTAGAACAAAAGAACAAAAAGCATGTAACTTGAAACGATAGATAAATTAACACTAAACATCTTTAAAGAAAACATTGCTTCTGCAGCTGTACAATGAAAAAAATGCAAGTGGAAAAACATTTGGAGCTTGAAAAAGATGGCATTTCAACTGCAAATAGCTAAAGCACCGGGAGGCGGGGGCAGAAATACAATTTCTTTCAAATATAAAATGTTTAATATAATTATCTGTAGTATATAAACCAAGAGTCAGAAGAAGGTAGACCAAGATCCAGTTAGACATTTCTGGGTGTTTGGTAGATGATGCAATAATGATAGTCATAGAAAGTTTTTTTTTCCTGAATTATGTGGCTGATGTCAAGCATTATGGCGGTGAGGTGGGAAAAGGAGTAGATTTGTGAGTGAAACATCTATGAGGGCCTAGTTTTGCACACAAATTCCTCATTTGACCTTGTATTCAAAGACACTTGGTTCCACAATCCTAACTCTACCTTTCTGAGCTACTACTTTGCATCTGGCTCCAGCTGCTGGATCTTGGGATTCGACTGCATGAGCTACTACTTTGCATCTGGCTCCAGCTGATCTTGGGATTCGACTGCAAGACAAAGTAGATCGTACAATCTATCCGTCTGCCCATTCCGGTATTAACACTGTAGTATAGTGGCCAGGCAGGTGGGCTTGGATAGGATTCAAATACTTGTTTATCAGTGAAGCAGAGTGATTATCAGTGAAGCAGAGTGAACAGTCCTGGGCAATCACTGTATTGTAGCCAAATCTACCTCACAAAACTCTTGGGGCTAAAGGTGCTCGCTGAGTTTGAAGAGGGCAGCATGAAATAACTTCATCTACCAGCAAAAGCAGGTAGTCAGGCGAGTTTGCAAGATAAATGGAGTCACCCAGAGATAAGAAATGGCTACACATAACTGGGAGACATCCTGGGTATACAGATATACCCCACGTTTATTGATGTTTTGAAAATAATGTTTTAAAACATTTTAAAAAACATTTTAAAAAGTATACACACAAGCTGCCTTCTTTTAAGAGACAGGTGAATCTGCTATCCGAGATGGAATGGAATGAGGGGACAATAGATACCAGGCATGTTTTATCATATTTCAGACATTGTGAAATATGATAAAACATGCCTGGCATGAAGCAAGAAGCTGTATATGCCAGCCCCACCTCCAGTGTCCTAAATGGGGCAACCCCACCCTCTCTATCCCTGTCCATCATTGCATCCAACACCAATACATCCATGTCTCTTCACTTCTCCACACCCACTAATGTCGTAAACAGCTGTCTCCCTTCTGATTGTCCAGAGGTTGTCCAGCAACAGGCTCCAATTCTCAAGCTTTTGACCAATCAAAAGCAAAGGAAGCCAGGTCTCTGCAAGGATGCTCTCTAGGGAAAATTCTGAGCATTGCTTGCTGTTGAGTTTTTTCTTTTTCCTGGCTGGAGCAAAGCAGAACTGGAATTATTGTGTGAACTCCGCTGTGAAATTAAATTTCTTAGAAAAGGGATGGGGGTAAGAGGCACCTAGGGATGATTTCAGATTTTGATCTGTAGCAATCCCGTGGGTGAAATTATGGGTGGTGGTGAAGTTTATGGGTGGTGCAGTGTCCTTGTAAAAGCACAGCTTCCATTATCGAGGGGGCTCAAGCATTGTCCTGGCTGGGAACTGTATTACAGTGCATATGTGCTGTTTCAGCAGTTTTCAGAGGAGGAGACAGAACCGGACTTATTTGTGCCTGCTGTATTTTCCAATGCCTCATTCCATCTACCAATGGCTCTAGATCCCCATCTGTCAGATAACTCTTCCTACAACAGGTTCTTCTATCATGTTGTTTGTCCATGGCCAAGATGCATATTAGCTTAAAATGATCATGATGTATTTATAAATGTTATAAATAAAATAAAAATCCTTTAAAATGGTTTTGTAGAAAAGCAGGAAGTTACTTATGAAACAGCAATAAATATGGTTTCTTAGGAGAATGTAGTGACTTAAAGTATCAGTTATGAACAATTTCTGTAAAGGAAACTTAACTCAATCTTATTAAACAAATGATGCAGACTTAGATGTAATATGAGACCATACAAGGGAAAATTGGAATATGGGTTAGGGAGGAATCTGAGCCAGGAAGTAGTGAATAGGATCTGGAAAAGTAATCAGAAGAGCACATTACAGTCAGAATCCAGTAATGTATGCCCACTGATTCTGCAAGAATTTGTGCCCCCCAAAAAACTGCCCTGAAAGACGTAGAACAGAAGGCAGCAATGGGAAAAGGAGGGAAATAAACTCTCATTCCCACTGGTGTTGGGTGTAGATTGCACCCTCAAATTTTGGCTTATGCACGAATATAAGGGAAAGCCTTTACCCATTTGTATTTAGATAGTATTTATCACCTTCTAGACTTAGGTTGTGACCAGACATGAGAATTGCTCCAAGCTGATACACAGTCATAGATCTTTCCACAGTAGGTAATACTAGCAGAATTCTTCTCTAGCCCCCCCACTCAAAATCATCCTCCCTCTTGGCCAATGTCACTATCTTTCTCTCTATCCTTTGCCCTCCCCTTTATACTTTGTTCCCATCTACTTACTGCTTAGCCTGGCACTTGTGGATATAAACTACCATTTTGGGAAACATGGATAACATTATCTGGTTTCCATTGCATACTGCTCTTGATTAAACTTTTTTTTTTTAAATAAGGTAAGGCTGAAATAGATTAGCACTGCATCAATACAGTGCAAAATGTTTTTCAGTTACAACAGATGAATCATTTTACTTAAAACTATAGTGCCCACAGCAAAATCTAGCCACATGTAGTAGAATACTGACTACATGCCCCTAACAGATTAAGTGCTCCTCATTTTTTAGAGCTGTCTCAACAGTTTAAAATTTTGTTCTTATGTGCCCATCAAGTAGCCTCTGATGTATGGTGACAGGGCTGTTAAGGATAAAATGTTTATGGGGTTATCTCCAAAACATTTTATCCTCAACAGCCCTGCTCAGCTTTTATACTCAAGCAACTCGATCCTTTAGGGCAGGCTTGTTCAACCTGCGGCCCAAGGGCCGCATGCGGCCCAGGTCAGCTCGTAATGCGGCCCAGTGCAATTTTTTATTTTTAAAGAAATTCCAACGTTTCAAGTTACACTGCCGCCGCTTGCGGCTGGAATGCGGCTGGGGCACATCACAACAGTAGAGGGGGCGAGAGGGAAGGAAGGAAGGAGTGGGAGGGGAGGGGAGAGGGGGGCTGCGTGACTGCATTGCGCTGTCCCCATCAATAGGTGGACCCCCTCCCGGCCCCATAAAGCCGACAGAGTCGAAGCTGGCAGCCTCTGCTGTCTGAGATCGCAGCTGCTGGTAAGCGCACTTGGAGCGGGGCTGTGGAGGACGCCTAGGGCTGCCCCCCCCATGCGGCCCAAACCAAATTTATGTGTGGCCCAAACCAAATTTTCATCTTCTAATGTGGCCCAGGGAAGGTGAAAGGTTGGACACCCCTGCTTTAGGGAGTCAATCCAGCTTATATTTGCTCTTCCTCCTTTCCTGCTGCCTGCAACTTTTCCCAGCATTATTGTCTTTTCCAGAAAATCATACCTTTTCATAATGTGCCTAAAGTAGGACAGGATCAGTTTCATCATTTTTTCCTCCAGAGATGGTTCAGAATCCATTTATTTGTCTTTCTGGCAGTCCAAGTTATTCGTAAAGCTCTTCTCTAGCACTGCATTTCAAATGAATCAGTTTCTCCCCTGACAGCTTTCTTTACTGCCCAGCTTTCACAGCCATACATGGTGATTGGAAATACAAGAGTATGGATGGTCTTGGTCTCCAGTAATACATCTTTACACTTTGATGATTTCTTTGTAATTCCTTCATTACTGCCCTTCTAATTCCTTCGCTGCAGTCTCCATTTGAGTTGATGATTCAACCAAGGCAATCTTTAGCCATTTCCATTTTTTAATTCTCTATATTAAAATTGTGTGATTCTTCAATTGTTATAATTTTTGTCTTCTCCCTGTTCAGCTACGGTCCTGCTTTGGCACTTACATCTCTCACTTTGATCCATAAGTCATTTCAAGTCATTGCTGCTTTCTGCCAGTAAGATGGTATCATCTGTATATCTTAAATTATTAATGTTTCTTCTACCAATTTTCACTCCTCCTTCATCTGAATCTAGTCTGGCTTTCCATATAATACATTTTGTGTACAGATTAAACAGATAATGTGATAAAATGGACGCTTGTCTGCCCATGTTTGCCTGTAGGAAACCATTCTGTCTCTCCATATTCCTAATGGCAACTTCTTGTCCACAATATAGTTTATGCATCAGGACAATCAAGTGCTGAGGCACACCCATTTCTTTCAGAACAAATATAGCACACCTTTGCAAATAAATGACATTTACAGCATTGTTGGCTTTTCCCACTTTTTGACATAACCCTTAACCTACACATGGCAACATATTTCATATTGTTTACATATTCAAACATGCTTACTCATGCAAAATTTATCTAACTGCTTCCTCCAACTGAGGGAAAGCTGTAGGACAGGATTAATTAGCACAGCATGTGCAATCACTTTGTTTAAGGATTCCTTGTCTGTTTCCATGGTTACGCCACAGGAAGCCACACATTCCCTTTTCTGAAA